TGTGTGTGTGTGTGGTATGTGTGTGTTCTTTCAATGTAGAACACTGGAAATCTCTTGGAGCCGGTTATGCACATCCCCTGCCCTCAACAGGGGTCACACAGGTGAACATGTCAAAGAAAACAATAGCAACTCCCCTACCCTTTCCTCACTCACTCCCAAAAAAACCCTCTAAGCTTCAGCCAGGCGGTGGTGGCGCACATCTTTAATGCCAGCAATCAGGAGGCAGAGGCATGTGGATCTCTGGGTTCGAGGCCAGCCTAGTCTACATCTCCAGTTCGAGTTCCAGGACAGTCAGGGCTGCTACACAGAGAAACCCTGTCTCAACCAAACCAAACAACTAAACAAAAAAAAAAAAAAAAAACTCTAAGCTTTATATACCTATGACTCTTGCTGACTTGATTAGGTTAGCCTCACAAGAAAAACGAAGCCCTAAAGGGTAGACTTTCTGAGAGGGAGTGAAGAAGACGTCTTTGCACAGGCCTCTCCAGCATCCAGGCCTGGGAATGATGCCTCTAGAAGTCATCTTTCCCTTAGTCAAAGCTGAAGAATCCCTGCAGGTCTGGGGTTAGGAGACATCCTCAGGTTCCCACTCTCGCAGCTCCTAGCTTCATCTGTTTCGAAACCCTCGTCCCCGCTGCTGTCTCACCTCACAGGTCAGCTCCTGAGGCACTGAGGTCCTCCTGACCTACTAGGAAGTTGAAAGGACGCAGAAGCCACTACCTTCGAGTCACCAGTTCAGGGACGGTGAAAGTTTTCAGTGCAAGGCTGCTGCGAAGCTGGCCAAACCGCTCTCCCCGGCACTCCCGGCACCCTTGCGGCCGTACCCTCCAAGATCAAGAGGTGCAAGCTGGGTTCGGGGTCCCCGGACGCCCTGCCCGCCCCCGGCCATGCTTCCTGGGTTGGGCAGCCCACGAACGTGCACTCACCTCTGTCACGAAGTCATCTGCTGCCTCCCAGCCCCGGACTTAAGAGAGGCGCCGCCGCGTCCTGTCACTCAGATGCTAGACACCCAGTGGCCATCACTGCGCACAGGTTGGCTAATGTCACGCGGAAAGCTCTGTTTCAGGAACGTCCCCGAGCGCTCCCCCAGCCGGGGCAGTGCGGAGGGAGGTTCTGAGCCCACTTGGACTCTGGGCACACGGTGTGGTCGCGGATTGCCGGCCTCCCTACAGTCCCACGCTGCGCCCGCTCCTGCGGTGCCGCCACCACCTGTCCCACTGCCAGCTGGGAATGCGCCGGTCTGGGTATTAATAACTGGCCACGCGGGCCCTGGCGAGGTCTCCTCAGCAGAGATAGGCGCCAGATCTGGGCTGAGGTAGCGACCACAGAGGAGTTTGCCCGGCTTGGGAGTGGGAAGGACCTCTGTGTATGCTGGAGGCTCATCCCCTCCACCTCTCTTGTAACCACCAGTGTCAGACTGAGGCTCAAAGATTTATGATTTACTGTAAAGGTGAGCGACGAGGCTTGTGCTGATGGACCAGGTAGTGTGAAGAGGGAAAGAACCCTGGGACCATGATCCATTACTCTGAAAGCAACAGGAGCCTGGGTTTGGGTAGCAACCCATCATTTGCTGATACCAAGTGATGAAGCTGTTTTCACCTTCTCAGGCGACTCACCCTCTGGGAGAGACCATATAGGCAAACTTGGTATACCGGGAACCTCTCTCCACTTGGCCCATATCTGATAAAGGCACCCTGTGACGTGGCTAATCCCATACCGGCCCATGCTGGTCCTATGCTGAATGAAAACGGATCCCTCGTGGCTCTGAAACAGGGAACCAGACCGTCACAAAAAAACAATGTAGAGAAATGAATCCTGAGAGATTACCCGTGGGGGTTCCACTTCCTATGTGGAGCTCAGATGTGGGGTTTGAAGGGAACCCTGAGGGTGGAGACCAGCCTGTGTCCTATGGTCAGACTCCTCTACTTCAGGTCTCACCTCTGCTTGGGTTTTATTCTCCTTCTGTGCCACTTTGCATTCAAAGCAGTCGGATTTTTATCCCTTAAAATCCTGTTTCCCACCTCAGGGTCAGTACTTTCAGCCAGGGGAAGTATGAGGCTTTCTGGTAGGCATCTTTCTGGGTATAAAGCCACTGGGCCCACTTTCTTCCATCTGTGTCATAGGTAGAGAGGACCCCCTGGCTCTTGGGAAGGTCCTAAATAACAGGGGCTGCTGGGCAGTCACATCTACACTCTCTTTACACTAGAAGGACCAGAGTTTCATTCAGTTCTGCCAATGCTCTGGCCTGAAGAGAGCCCAGACTAAAGAGAGAGGCTTCTAGGAGCCAACATCCTACCTAGGGGACGCTGTCCATGTCACTGAAACCGAAGAGCCACAGGCTAGATATATGGATGATCAAGATCGTCATAGCTGTTC